TGTTGTTCAACAACTACCTAAATATGCACTCTCTCCCGAGTAATACACACTAAATAGGCACAGCTAATTGAGGGCCCTTCAAGCAACCATAAGAATAATATAATTGAACAAATAGAGAAAATACTACGACTCAATTATATAAAAACATAACAAAAATTTATCCCACAAAAGGTTCCATCAAAACCCTAGTTAACAAATTAGCTATTCATAATAGTATGCAAAATTAAATAAAATACTAAAAGTCATAACCAATAATGGAAATAGGAAGAAGGAAGTGAGAAACTTGTAGAAAAATTCTCCGCTTTACTCCTAATGTGTTCTTGTCTTCTTAGGTCGAATCCTCGATTTTCTTAGCCTCCTTAGGTCTAAATTTTGTCAAAAGTATGTCAAAGGTCTTCAAAATACCCTTTTTCCATGTATATATACCAAATAGAGTTGGGCCCAAACAATTACACCTTCTCCTACACGAAAAAGAGCACATTTTCCTGACAGAACGTGCGCGGCCGCGCTCAGACCGCGCATATCCACTTTGATTCTGCCTGACGAACACGGCCTGAGCGCGGCTGCGCTCTCGACGCGCACTTTTCACCTTGTTCCGTTTGGAATTTGGAAAAACGTAAAACATGAACATTGTAGCTCTTTGAGTTAGCTTTCCAACCATATATTGTGGAGCCCAAATGGAGTTCTGAGAAAAACGTTATGTGCATTTTACAAGACAGTGCGCAATATACCTACTCGATTCTTCATTTGTTCTAACTATCATCCGTTGACCCCCGAATACGATTCCCGCTTAATTCCTTGAGCTTTTACTCAGACTTCAAAGCTTCAAATCACTTGAATTCATTCCATAACATCTACATAGCTCGGAACCACTCCTACAAGGCATAAAACATACAATTAGTACAAGACACTAGCGATTAAAGCTCAAACTCAATTAAAGTGCAGTAAATTTGAGTGTAATAAGCGACTAAAATACATAATTATAGCATATCATCACTTATATGTCGAACTAACTTTTCAATAATAATAATAATAATAATAATAATAATAATAATAATAATAATATATACAAATCAAATTAATATATTTAACTTTTTGGGGGAGGGGGGGGGGTGTCCATTGACATGACATCACATAGGAGAGTAATATACTCATTTCTGGAGCAGCGAAAATACGTAGGCACAACACGTGAATTTTAGCGGACTTCAATTAAAATATACTCCAAAGAAGCATATAAACAAATTAAAGATGATGAAACAATCCTTCCATTTTCCAAAAGAACTTTGGAATGCGAACATGATCTGTAATCCTGTATCAACTTCTCTTCAGGAAAGCACAACCTAAAATGAACATAAGATTTTATTTTATACATTAAAAAGAAGAACATATGCACCAGTATTCAAGTGCAAACGGAACAGTTGTGCTCTTCATAAAATGCAATAAGACACACCTTTTCCTCTTAAAGTCAAGTCTCTGCTTTATCTTTTTCCAAATATAGTATAGCTCAGCTGCATTTTGCATCAGTTCCTTTAACGGGAAAAAGGGTAGAAGGAACAAGAGACATAATATCACTAATTGTTTGTTCATTAAAAAAAAAAGCAGCTGAAAGATTATTTTCTGAAAATTACTTTCTCAACGCATAGAACAGGTTATATCTTTTGAAGATTGAAACAGTTCGCTACTACTAACAAAGATAGATGATTAGAGAAATGGCCCGAGCTCCAATTTTATTAGCGAGATGATAGATGGATAGATAGCAGACTCGATAATATTAGCATTGAAAATGGATAAGTATGGTAAGATAGATTTTCCTTCAAATGGGCCTTAAGTTCATTATCTGCTAGCTTTGAATGAGTGAGTAGCGAATACCACAGGTAATTAAAAAAAATATTAAGACTGCAGAAGTACACAATATGGATTCTCTATGAGTAATTAAATAAAACAAAAATCAGTGGCCTCGTCAACAGTTCATGATATGACTTGACGGGGACTTTTAGGAAAAAAGTTAGAGAAATGGGCATTCTTTTGGCATGAACATAGTGTTCAATTGGGGATATCCCTTTCGGCAAGAAAAAGTGATTTGAAGGAGAAATGAAAAGACATCAGAGGCCAAAAAAGTAAAAGAAAAAAAAAAGGATGTAGATTGACATGGTCTTATGAGGAAAAAAAAAGGAAAAATGTCTTGAATACGGAACCGAAATGTTGTCTTTTTTGATTCAAAATATCTAAATAGGTGGAAAAAAATTTAGTTTTCAAATGATACATATCTTAAAATGAAGAGTTTAAAGTTCAATTATTTCCAAATTTAGAGATGTATTATTTATTTTGGAACAAATTAAAAATACTTCATCCAATTTGAAACGGATGAAGTATTTTTTTTGTTTATATGTGCATTATATACAAAAATAAAATATAAGTATTTTATATATTTTTCGATTAGAGAATGTAATTAGTTTCGGTCCGACTAGTTTTGTATTTTGCCTTATTTTCTTTTTCGTCTTTTATGCCTCATATTTATTCCCGGTTGCCGTAAATCAATTTTCTACTGATGTCAAGTTGGGGGTGTCAGAGCGGGTGGGGTGTAGGGGGATAGCACGAAAAACGGGGATATTAAGATATGGGGTAATGATGAAGTAGCAACTTTGCCCACTGCAGTGTCTCTCAAAAATAAGAAAGCAGAAGCCGAAAGGTAAATTTAGAAGTTTTATATAAAACTTAATTTTGAAACTCGTTTTACCTTAACGTCCGTTAAAATGTGGTTCATAATTATGTTTTATATATTTTGGCACTAAGTTTTTTTTTCTTATTTAAGTATTTTGAGTTCAAAAGGATAATATTTTGGTTCCGGACTCTTATCAAGGTTGCTAGCTCCAAAATTTATTTAAGATGATAGCTTACGAGATTAGACGGAATTAGAAATGAACGATTGAACTAATTAGATTATGAATTCTTTGTTAATATGTTCGAAATTTCATTTATAGATTATCGACAATTTCCTCCCTTTTTAGTAAAACTTTGAATGATGGTCTAGTGATAATAATTTGAAATTTCAATTACACACTTATAAGACGTATTACCCTCATGCTTGTTTAAAAAATATATCTTCTACCACCATTAGACCTATTCCTATACTATAAATGAGAATAACCAGGCAGCTCATGGTTAACATGTCTGCCTGGCCCACGAGGTTAATTTAGTCATTAGCTTGTAGTCCTCCTTTAATCATTTATCCTTCTCGCATTGGAGGTGTATATTCTAGCGCAAAATGTGTTAATGGACGAAAATGTCAAGTTCTGCCTACTTTGTAGAATTAACTTTTACAAAGATTTGTTTTGGCCTTACTTTATCGCCTTATTTTTGTGATAATAGATACTACTTAAGAGTTAGGGACCAAAGTGTGAATAGTGAAAGTTAAAAGACAAAATTGTAATGAAGGAAAAGTTAGGAAGTTAGTCTGTTAAAAGGATCAGTTATTAATCCAACAGTGTTAACGATCATAATGAAGAACATCATTTTCTCTCCTCCTTCTCTCTAGCTTTCTCTCTCTATAATTCACTATCAATTAGCAATCTTCATAGCTTGAATCCTGTAAATTGACATGGTATCAGAGTAGCGATCACTGAAATTGTGTAGATCTGAAGCTTGCTCCTGAAAATCGAAGCTCAACAATGGCGGACGACGAGGTCGATCAATTACCTCATAACCATCCTCTTTTCCTTCGAGATTCTAACATGCTCGGAACATCACTGATATCGCTAAAGCTCACAGGGCCAGAGAACTATACGCTGTGGAGTAGGGCGATGAAGGTCGCACTTTTGGTGAAGAACAAGCTAGGGTTTGTGGATGGAAGTTGCCCTAAGAGCTCATACAGAGGCGAGTTAGCTGCACAATGGGACAGGTGTAATGTGGTAGTACTTTCATGGCTCAGTAGCACAGTATCAAGCGAATTGGTATCGAGTATTATGTACGCTGCGAGTGCAAGGAAGGTTTGGGATGAATTCAAGGAGAGGTTTGACAAAGACAATCTGGCTAGGATTTATCAACTCTGGGCAGAAATTGCGACACTTAGACAATGTACAAATTCAATTACCTGGCTAGGATTGATTGTGAAGAATCAAGGCCATATGTCGATCACTTGGTGAGACAGAGGTTATTACAGTTCCTTATGGGACTGAATGAGAGTTATAGCCAGATAAAAAGCAACATTCTTCAGAGAAAGCCAATACTCACTATAAATCAAGCATATTCAGTTGCAGTACAAGAGTAAAGTCAAAGAGCATTAGGAGTAGCTGAGATAAATAAGGATCTCTTGACTATGTTAGCAGGTAGAGGATAGATGTTTAAAGGGAAGAAACCTAGGCTGATCTGTGAACACTGTCGGTATAAAGGCCATCTAAAAAAAATTGCTACAAAATAATAGGGTATCTAGCTGATTTTAAGAGCAAAAAAAAAGGCAACCATGTGGATACAAACCTTATGCTAACACTGTGAATGCAGAAGGAGAAACATATGTCAAAGTGCATATTCCAGGAAGCTTTATGATAGAGGAGTACTACAAACGCTTAGTCAATTTTTTGACCAAATCCTCTATTGGAGAAGGATCTGTTGCTGCAACAAGTTCATCAAACATGGCAGGTATAGTGTCATTGCTATCTAATGTATCCAATAGCAGGATATATGATTGGATAATAGATGCAGATGCATCACATCATATAGCATTATACAAAGAAGTATTAGAAAGTCTTAAAGAAATTGAAGGTGAGAACAATTATGGAGTAGAGATACCTACAGGAGATAAGTCAAAGATCACACACTCAGGAGATGCCCTTATTTTGGGTAAACAAAAGATAACAAATGTGTTACATGTGCCTGATTTTAAATTCAACCTACTTTCGGTATCCAAGCTAACTAAATAGTTGTGCTGCTTGGCTGTCTTCTACCCTGATTTCTGTGTGTTTCAGGGGCTCTATAATGGCAAGGTGTTGGGGATTGGTAAAGAAGATAGTGGACTCTACATACTTAGAAGGGAAGGAGTGGTAGCAGCTAAGATTTCTAAAGAGGAGATAGCAGATACTAAATTGTGGCATCAAAGATTAGGACATGCATCATCAAGTACTTTACAACAACTAGAGGAACAGAAGAATAAAGTTGATGTAGGCTTGCACAAGCTATGTGAAGTCTATCCACTAACTAAACAAAGTAGATTCAAGTTTCCATATAGTAGTAGTAAGTTTGATAGTATTTTCCAACTTGTGCATGCTGATGTATGGGGTCCATATAAGGTCCCAACTTATGACAAGAAGTATTATTTTGTGACAATAGTTGATGACTTTAGTTGATATACTTGGATTTGTTTGTAGCATTCAAAGAGTGAAGTAATAGTAGTGTTGAAAGACTTCTTTGCCTTGGTTAAAAACCAATTAAACATAATGATTAAGACTATAAGATCAGATAATGGCACAGAGTTTTTCAACACTCAGTGCAATGATCTGTATGTATCTCTAGGTATTGTGCATCAAAGCAGCTGTCCATATACTCCAGAACAAAATGGAGTCGTGGAGAGAAAGCATAGACACATTCTAGAGGTAGCAAGGGCTTTAAGATTCCAAAATGGTATACTAGTGAAGTTCTGGGGAGACTGTATGAAAACAGCTGTGTACTTGATCAACAAGATGCCTTCAGATATCTTGAAAGGGAAATCTCCTTTTGAATTGTTGCATAAGAAGCCACCAAAGGTGGATCATTTAAGGGCGTTTTGTTGTTGTGCTATGCAAGAATATTACCTAAAGGTGACAAATTTGCTCCAATAGCAAGAAGAACTGTCTTCTTAGGGTATTCAGAGACTCAAAAAGTCATTTAAGGATGTTTGGTTGTTTGTGCTATGCAAGCACATTACCTAAAAGGTGACAAATTTGCCCCAAAAGCAAGAAGAATTGTCTTCTTAAGGTATTCAGAGACTCAAAAAGGCTACAAACTACTTGATTTAGACAATAACACCTTCCTAGTTAGTAGAGATGTCAACTTTAGAGAGAATGTGTTTCCCTTCAAGACTGACCACAATCACATGGAACATGAGGATCTGTTTCTTCTTAATACTACAAACACAACTGAAGTTATGGAAAGAAGTAGCAGGGGTATGCCACCTGATCATGCTAGTGATCACAATACTGATCAAGCTAAATCATCCCAAGAACATGAAGTAATTCCAGAACTTGAGACTTCAATACTTGCATCAGGAGAAATGACACAATAAGAGCCACATGATCAAATGCATCATGCACTCCCAGAACCTATTGCAGATCCCTCAGTCATCCAGCCCAATGATCAATTGCCTCAGACTGCACCTACTGTAGATTCTCTTGTTCTTCAACCTGTACCATCAGTTGCACTTAGAAGATCAGCTAGAGGGGTCAAACCTAGTATTTCGCTGAAAGATTACTATACTATTGGGAACTCCTCTAATCATAGTTCCTACCCTATCTCACAATATGTGTCCTATGACCATCTTTCAACTCATTACCAAGCCTATCTAACAGCCATTTCAATAGAAATAGAACTAGGGTCTTTCTCAGAAGTTTCACAAGATGTTAGGTAGGTTAAAGCTATGCAAAATGAGATCAAGGCCCTAGAAGATAACAACACTTGGGAAGTAGTAGACTTGCCCTGTGGAAAAAGGGCAATTGGGTCTAAATGAGTATACAAAATCAAATACAAGGCAAATGGAGAGATAGAAAAGTTCAAAGCAAGACTTGTGGCAAAGGTCTACACACAGCAAGATGGTCTAGACTACTATGAAACTTTCTCACGAGTTGCAAAGATGGTAATAGTCAGAACAGTTATTAGCCTAGCAGCTTCAAAGAATTGGCATCTTTTTAAAATGGATGTCAATAATGCTTTTTTGCAGGGAGATCTTTATGGGGAGGTTTACATGCATCTGCCCCAAGGTTTTCATAGGCAGTGGAGTCCAAGGTTTGCAAATTGTCCAAGTCACTTTATGGCCTTAAATAGACATCTAGGCAATGGAATATTAAGTTAATTGATGCCTTGACAAAAGCAGGTTTTCTGCAAAGTGCATATGACCATTCACTCTTCACCAAGAAGAATGGTGCAGATGTGGTAATTATATTGGTCTATATTGATGACCTATTGATCACAGGTAGTTATGAAGCTATGACACAGGCATCAAAGGAAGCATTGCATTTAAATTTTAAAGTGAAGGATCTAGGGGAGTTGAAATACTTACTAGGTATAGAGATCATGAGGTGTGATGACCCAAACGGTCATTGCTTGTTTTAAAAAACAAATTCCGTATTCCGAAGCCTTAAAACCTCTTTCTGTCTCACCTCAATTTGCGTGCGCATTCCGAGCGCGTAGCCAAAAAGCCATTTTGTAAAAATCTGTGAAAAATGATGAATTTTGCCTTTAAAATGAGTTTAAGTTGACTTCGGTCAACATTTTAGGTAAACAGATCCGGACCCGTGATTTGACGATCCCGAAGGATCCGTAGGAAAATATGGGACTTGGGTGCATGCCCGAAATCAAATTCCGAGGTCTCAAGCCCGAGAAATAAATTTTTAAAGAAAATTATTTTCTGGATTATTTATGAGTTTTTGGAAATGAAATGTGTTTAAAATTTGACGGTATCGGGATCGTATTCTGGTTCCGGAGCCCGGTACGGGTCTTATATGTGATTTAAGTTGAGTCTGTGAAATTTGGTAAGAAACGGACTTGAAATGACGTGAATCCGACCGTATTTGAGAAAATTGAAAAATTTGAGGTTCTTAAGTGATTTCATGATTTTTATGCTAAATTCATAGTTGTTGATGTTATTTTGGCGATTTGATCGCACAAGTAAGTTCATATGATATTTTTGAGTTAGTATGCATGTTTGGTTTGGAGCCCCGAGGGTTCAGGTGAGTTTCGGATAGGTTTCGGAAGGTTTTAAACTTAGAAAAAAAAAAGTTGCAGGTTTTCAATTTCTGGTGCACATGGATTTTGTGCTTCGCGTTCACGTGGCTTTACTCGCTAACACAGAAGGCAATCTCCCTCAGGTAAACATTTGCTCTTCGCGAATGCCGAGCTTGGGACGCGAACGCGAGGCTGTGGGGGGAATACCCTACGCGAACGCGTCCAGACCCTCGCGAACGCATAGGGTTAGTGGCCTGGGGGAGGGATTTCACACTTTACCTTACGCGAACACGGCCACCTGACCGCGAACGTGATGACTCTGGGAGTTAAAGCTTCATGAAAGCAAGCTTCTGATCACGAATGCGATGGTCAGCTGGGCCTGACCCATCGCGAACGTGACATTCCTATCGCGAATGCGATGAAGGCCTGCCCAGTGATTTTAATATAGAAGCAAAAACGGGCAGAGCCTATTTACTTTATATTTTCAAAATTTGGGAGCATTGAGGCGATTTACAAAGAACAATTTCTTCCTGAAACATTGGTAAATAATTCTAAACCTTTTTCTTTCAATTTCCCATTGCATTTCATCAATTTTCATCCTAAAATCTAGGATTATTATGGTAGAAATTAGGAATTTGGATAGAGTTAGGGCTTTTTGATTAATTGGGATTTAGACCTCGTTTTGGGTCAGATTTCGAAACTAATTGTATATTTGGGCTCGTGGGTGAATGGGTGATCGGGTTTTGGTCTGAACTTTGAGTTTTGACCAAGCGGGCCCGGGGTCAATTTTTGACTTTTTGGGAAAAATGATAGAAAACCTATAATTAAGCATTGGGTATGAATTCTTTAGCATTTATTGATGTTGTTAAATCAATTTAGACTAGATACGAGTTGTTTGGAGGCAAATTCTAAAGGAAAAGCGGTGTTTGAGGCTTGAGTTGGCTGTGGAAGTTCGAGGTAAGTGTTTGACCTAACCTTAGCTTGAGGGATTAGGAGTTGTGTCCTATTTGCTACGTGTTACTTGTTGAGTACGACGTATAGACATGGTGACTAGTATCTATACGTTGGTGTCAAGCATGACCGTGAGTCTTAAATTGAAATTGTTGTGTTCTTAATAAGTACTACGAATGCCTAAGTTGTTGATTCTCTGTGTTGAGCAAGGATTATGATTATTCTCGTGGAAATTGCTTATGGTTGGGTATTGGTTCTAGTTGAGGTTCTTTTGTGAAGTTAGATGTTGGAACAAGTTTGGTTATAGCTGATTTTCCCTTGCCGGGATGTATTTACTTATACCATCGATTCCCTTGCCGGGATACGGTTGTTTTCTTTGTTGTTCCCTTGCCAGGACTCTCTTTGTGATTGGTGTTGAATTATATATGTGGATCGGGTTGCATGCCGCAACAAAATTATGTTTGGATCGGGTTGCACTCCACAACAATAATATAATTGGATGGGGTTGCACGTTGTAATAGTGATAAATGATATGGATAGGGTTGCACGCCGTAACAGTGTTTTATGATTTGGATCGGGTTGCGCACCGCAACAATTGATAATAAAAGTGTTTATTGATTGATAACGATTTCCTTATTCTTTTGCTGTGAATTTTAAATAGTTCTTTATGCTTTTCTCTCAAATTACTGTTGGTAAATGATATTCCCTGCAGCATGTCCCCCTCCTATCTTTAATTGTTTATTTCTATTTATTTTCGGCTGTATATGATATAACTGCACAGGTTTATTTGGTAGTCTGGTCCTAGCCTCGTCATTACTTCGCGGGATTAGGCCAGGCACTTATCAGTACATGGGGTCGGTTGTGCTGATACTACACTCTGCATTGTGTACAGATCCTGGAGCGGTAGATTTTGGACCATAGCTTTGGGTGGCTGCCTTCAGTCCAGTCAAAGATCCCGAGGTAGTCCTGCAGGAGTCCGTAGGCCCCGGCGTTCTCTTCTATCTCTATATTATGCTTTCATTTAATTTAGAGACAGATTGTATCTTTCTTCCCAGACAATTGTTTGTAGTATTCGTAGACAGTCCGTGATATTGTGACACCGGTTTCGAGTAGAGATGTACTTGGTATTGTCGTACTTGTTTTTTTGCTAAGTTATCAAATTACGTCTTCCGCATGTATTTAATTACTGTTAATATTTCACTGTTGATACCATGTTGATTTAAATTGTTAAAAAGGGCTAAATAAAAGAGTTAGTGAATCTATAATACTCGGTTTGCCTAGCTTTCACGAGTAGGCGCAATCACGACTCCAGAGGGTGGGAAATCCGGGTCGTGACAAGTTGGTATCAGAGCTCTAGGTTACATAGGTCTCACAATTCACGGACAAGCTTAGTAGAGTTTGAGGAATCGGTATGGAGACATCTGTATTTTTTTCCCAGAAGCTACAGAGTTAGGAAAAACTTCACATTTATTCTTTTCGGTCGTGTGGTTTGGTTACTCAATGCTAATTGAATTTCTACTCTGTTCTTTCGCAGATGGCGAGAACACGCGCTTCCTCATCCATCGATCATTATCCCGAGCCCCCAGCAGCAGCTCCCACGAGGGAAAGAGGGCAATGTCGAGGCCGTGTTAGAGGCCGAGGTAGGGGCAGAGCTCAGCCCAGAGCAGCAGCACAAGCGGCGTAGCCTTAAGTTGACTTTGATGATGTGGTTTCGGCCCAGACAGTTCTGGTAGGCCCAGCTCAGGTCCCATAGGTGTTTATTGCTACCCTAGTACTCCAGGATGCTCTGGTCCGTCTAGTGGGCCTTATGGAGAGTGTCACCCGGGCAGGCTTGCTTCCTGTAGCACCAGCCGTCTCTCAGGCTGGAGAAGGGGCCCAGACTCCTGCTACTCGAACTCCGGAGCAGATGGATCCCCAGTTTCAGACTCCAGTAGCTCAGCCAGTTGGAGCA